TTAACATAGTGCTTATATGCAAAGAGCTAGCAGCTTTTTGGTATTCTCTGCAGGGGTGTTAACAACCTTTTAACTTTGACTCTCAAGAAAGCTGAGCTGTAGTAAACAGGGAATTTCTGAATCCACTTCAAGGAGCATTAAGGAGGTGGTATTTTCATTTGAAGAACTGGTGAAATCCTTCAACCCCCCAGGAGAAAGGATGGTTTGCAAGTCTGGAATACAAGAGCCTAAATTCTGAATTCAGGCTGCCCATGATGCTGCCCCCTCACTGGCAAACTCACCTCCAGAAGGAAGTTTACAAAGATAAAAACCAAAAGCCAATCAGGTTTTCACAGCTACAACCCTCATCATTCTCTTGCCTGGTAACTAATCCTTGGGTAAGATTAAGGGACAAACAAACAAACAAAGCTGGTGACTACAGTGGGCCACCCAGCCAGGACCATGACACTAAGGAACATCTGTTAATCAATCACTCTTGTCCTTGTCTGACTTCAGCTTGCCATATGTTAACTGAGAACACCACACAGCTGGTACAAACTAGTCCAGAAAATTCGTAAAACACTTGGAAAACAATTTCATGGTACAGGTACTAAGGGAAAAGTGTCCAGGAAAAGTGCAACCAGGAAAAGTGTCCTCCATGATCTGTTGCTACTAGAGAGGGTCTTGTAAGGGAAGTGTCTATTGGTGGCCATCTTGGCCACAGTGACCACAAAGCAATCAAGTTTAAAATCTCTGATGACAGGAGGAAAAGCATCAGGAAAACTTCCACCCTGGCCATGAGGAGGAATTAAGGCCGCTCAAGGAATTAAGTCAGTAAGGTTCCCAGGGGAAATACTTCTGAAGGTGCTGGGGTCCCTCAGTGCTGGTAATCTTTTAAGCACCATGCCCCAAGGGCACGGGAGCAAGCAATTCCCACTTACCAGAATTCAAGAGACGAGGCAGAAGGCCAGCTTGGCCAAGAAGGGATCTTCCTTTGGAGCTAAGGCAGAACCAAAAAGTATGGTCAGTGTGAGCAAGGTTGGTGACATGGGAATGTTCTGCCAATTGGCAGGACAATTTAAAGGACACAAATGCCAATGGAAAGAATGGTCTTATTTTACTATGAATATTAAGGTAACACAAATTAAAATTATACATTCAATAAAAGTACACACTTGGCTTTAGCAACAAGCAAAAATAAGCAAGGGAATGCACCTAATAATTACTATGTGAGAGAAAGAGATTGTGATTGAAAAAGGTACACCACCAATTGCCTAAATACTCCAGCATCATACAGAGTCCGCAGTTGCTGGGGAAGCCCTGTTTCACAGCAAGGACCTGGAGAACCCTTCCTAGCAATTGGGAAAATCCCATGTGATGCATCCACCCATGGCTGAGCTCTCCAAATTTGCCCCAAAGGTAGGCCCAACTTTTATAGGCCCAAATCAGCAAGTCAAAGTGACTTGATGATAGTTTTAGTGCAGAAACACCTGGATTTGATTGCACACTCCTCAACCAGGTGGGGCCAGGGCTTTGCCAGGGCCCAGGCTTCAGCTGGGAGAGTTTTCCCCCAAAACATCCTACAAATAAGCCTCTATTCATGTCAGCTGGGAAAGTTTCTTAAAATGATGCATTTATTGCAGATAACTGCACAAGATTATGTGAAAGTTTCTATAGCAGCCAGTTGGTGTTAAACAGCTGGCATAAGCATCTCAGTTCATGTATTTTTAGCTAAATAATACTGATGGTGTTAGTCACATAGTGCCCAGAATTTGTCTTGTAAGTCAACTCTGGCTGAGACCTGCTGCTCACACCTGAGCACATCAGGGAGGAACCCAGAGAGATAGGCAATCATCAGCCACATGAAGTTAAACAAAGAATAGTGCTGGATTCTGCACCTGGGCCTGGAGAGCCCTGGGAGTCCAGACAGACTGGGGAACAAGAGGCTGGAGACCAGCACCACAGAAAGAGATCTGGAAGTTTGGACTGAGGGCAAGTGGAACATGAGCCAGCAGCGCCCCAGCAGCCCCAAGGGCCAGCCCTGTCCTGGGGGACATCAGGCCCAACACTGCCGGCCGAGCAAGAGGGTGACTGTCCTGCTCTGCTCTGCACTGGGGAGGCCTGGGGGCAGCTTGGGGTGCCTCCAGGTGTGGATATAAAGCTACTAAAGGGTACTTACAGAGGGCTACAAAGATGGTGAATGGCATAGAGGGACCATATGCGGTCCCTTGGTTTGTTCAGCCAGGAGGAGACTGAGGTCAGCCCTCATCAGGTCTGCAGCTTCCTCCTGAGGGGCAGCTTCAATCTCTTCTCCCTGTGACCAGGGACAGGACCTGAGGGAATGGAGCTGTGCCAAGTATCAGGGAAAGGTTCTTCCCACAGAGGGTGGCTGGGCACTGCCCAGGCTCCCCAGGGAATGGGCACGGCCCCAAGGCTGCCAGAGCTCCATGAGCATTGGACAACACTCCCAAGCACAGGGTGGTGAACAGGGTCCCATGGAGAGCCGGCCAGAGTAATGACACTCAATCCAATATGGTTAGATGTCATCCGCCGTTATTGTCTAATTTTTTCATGTTTTATACCTTTATCGCCTTTGTCATGGTTTGACACTGGCACAATGCCATCGCCCCCATGAAAATGCAACCTCTCAATTGAATGCTGTGAAATGCGATCAGGAACAGAGCAGAGCAGGCCCAAGCTTAGTAACAAAGAAAAAACCTTTATTAAACTACTACTATTATAAAAAGAAAAACACACACTAAATCCAAAATGAAAACCTTCCAAAACATTCCTCCTCCCCCTCAATTCCAACAAACCACAGTGAGACACAACTTGAACCCCCAATCAGGTTTCCACCCTTCAGAGGATCAATACTCAGTCCATCGGGGGAGAGAGGAGTCTCTTTTGTGCCACAGACCCCCCCCGCAAGAAACACAGCTGCCACTTCTTGTGTTTCCATGTCACACATGGCACCGCCCAGAGAAGAATTTGCCATGGTGACAGCTTTCCTTCATGGAAATGCACAGTGCTCTCACCACAGTGCATGGATGGACAGACTGCTCTTAGGATTTTTCTTTTCAAGGATGCTCTGCCAAGAGGGGAAAAAACAACAGTTCAGTTTTTCATTTTTTGGGACCACAGTCCCCCCCATTTTCTTCCTCCCCTGGGGCTGAGGGTCCAAGAACAGAGACCTTCTTATCTTCTAACTCTCTGAAGACAAGGGGCACCACCACAAACCTCCCCAACTTTTCTGTTTGCTCCATTCCTGTCTTTTCTCAGCTGCTGAAGCAGGTCTCTTGGCTCACCGGCATCCTCCTAAAATACAGTCTCCCTTGGAGGAGAAAAATCGGTTCAGTCTATGGCTAACAAGAAAAACTCCAGCCAAAAGCCACTCCATCATCTTCCCCCCCAATCTTCTTTCCTTAACATCCCAGGTCCCAGGCTGTCTCTCTTCCTCTCTTTCAAGCCGAGGAGGAGTACAATTTCACAAAGCTTTCATTTCTCAGGAAGGGTTAAGAGTCCCGACTCCCTGGCCGGCTCTCTGCCCGGCTCCCGGCTCCCAGGGCTCTCCTTCCCCGCGGTGTACTGCTGACAAACCGCCGCTGTCTCTTTTTCTCGAGAGACTCTGGGGGGGAACGCAGACATCCCAGATTTCTCCACCCTTCCATCTGCAGGGGCCAACCCAGTTCAGTCCCTCCACCCTTCAGCCTACCTCAAGCTGGGCCGCATGGCTCCCGTCCCCCACCCAGCCACAGGCTTGGGGGGGAGAGTCTGCACTGCACCCTGACCGGAACCAAAGAGAGAAAGTTCTCCTGGGAATTCTGCTTTTAACCCCTCTTGTTTTCAGAGGCATGTCCAGTCTTCAACTGGTCACCCCAAGTGTCAACATCCAACCCCAATCACTGACTGGCTTGACCCTCTTCCTTCCGCAAAAATTCCATTCTGTGTCAAACCACGACAGCCTTACATAATACAATAGCTAATTAACATTGGTTAATGTAATATAATTACATATACAAGTCACTTATAGATTAGCTGTTATACTACAAGCATCTGATCAGATTATATTACATGACAGTTTTCATATATTACTCAGCATCCAGCATTGACTACTGTGTTTGTATAAAGCTTATTGTCTTCTCAAGGATTTCCTAAATACTTTAAAGTAACTAAAGTAACTCTGTAATCTGCAGGCCAGGGTTGTCCAGTTCCTGCAAAGGAATAGCATCAAGGATAGCATGTCCTTGTTCCATGAGAAGTTCCTCTACAGGGTGGGGAACAAGATGATCTTGAATGTCCTCTCCAAACCAAGCCATTCTGTGATGCTGATTTTTGAGGTGTCTTGTGCAGGGCAAAGAGCTGGACTTCGATGATCCCTTTGACGCTTTGTGGGTCCCTTCCAATTTAGAATATTCCATGATTCGGTGATTCTATGAACAACAGATAAGTCTTTCAAAACAAAAGCTCTGGCAACAAAGAAGTCATTACAGCAAAATCTGCACAAATTGGCCTTTTCTTCCTTGTAGAGCAGATGTATGAGAGGTCTTAGAAAAGCTGAGTTCATGCCAGCTTTATGCTTACCTGGGGTGACAAAACCAGCGTGACACCAGCTGGTACAGATCTGAACCTGTCCAAGGCTGGTGCTCAGAGATTAGGTAGGAGCCCACAGCTCAGCTTTGCTGGAGTCACACTGGCCTCTGGTGGGCACATCACCTATCACTGCAGGGTTCTCTCCCTCCTGGTGCTTTTTTGGCAACTTCATGCAATATATTACTCACCTTCTCCCAAAATCTACACCTGACTGAAGCAGAAACAGTGAAGAAACCTCTGGAGGAAACTTCAGACAAAACACATGAAATGTCATTAATTCAAACAGAAAAAAAATCCCAAAGAAATCTGAGGGAGCATAAAAATGATTAAGGTCTTTGATATTACAGATATTACAGAAAATGCAGATAGAAGGTACTGTTTAATGAATTGGCACAGCAAAACAACAGGAAATACAGCAACACAGGTTAAAATACTTTTTAGTTATTTATTATAAAATACAGATTTACATGTGAAGGCACTTTGAAACCGTTACAAAATTTCCATGTAAGCTATTGTTTTAGCACAAAATAGTTTTTAGATCACCTAAAAAGGTGAAGAATTTTGAACTGCATCTAGTTGTAGTACATTCATTTTCCTAATTAAAAAAACACTACACATAACAAAAGCTGAAAAGGATTTTGGCTCCATCAGTTGTCTACTGTCAGAGAAGGCAGTGACAGTGTGGGGAGCAGAGACATCAGGAGATTTGCACATGATATTGAATTAAAACCATGTCAACGAAACTCTCATCATACAATACCATGGAAAGACTGGTGCTGTCATGCCTAACCATAAATTTCCTATCGTATTGCAGAAAGGCTGCAATCCTCCACTTTTTATCTCAAAATCGGAACACAAACATTAAAACTTGAATAAAATTAAAGGAAATTAAATAGCTACATGAAACCTATTCCACTGCATGGCCATTTCCTCATACTGCAGCTCTCCCTGGGCAAGCACCTTTTTTTTTAAGTAAAAAAGTTCAAAAAAATCAAATATTCCAAGTAGTTAATGACTCAAAGCCAAGTTTGTAAACTTTCTACTCCTTGCTGAGTAGCGTCCCTGCAGACCTACACTTAGTAATCAATTTCTCTTTCATCACTGCTGGCTAAATTCCTTAGCTGAGGCTACTCAAAATCATGGCAGTGTTCTCTGGAGCTGTGGATCTCACAGCACATACTAATCCACCCAGCCAATAAAGGGAACAGAGCCCCTCAACTAAGTCCTAGGTAATAGTTTTTTTTTTTTAGTTCAGTTACACAGAAACTGAAAATTACAGCGCTGAGAAGTTTCTCTATGGCTCTAACCTTAAATACAATTATAAAATAAGATCAAACTACTAATTTACAGTAATGAATAAACCCTGACTTTTCTCCATTTTGGTAAAATAGGCCCTACCAAATCCTTAGCATTAAAAACTCAGTCACAAGAATTGGATGCTGGAATTTATGCTTTTCCAGTGAACCCAAGCCTTCTATAAAACCTCACACATACATATCTCCTTATGTGATGGGCTTACATCCAGTGTAGATACTACACAAGAGGCTAAAGGTCTTCAGGAAAAAACAAGAGATTCAATTTATTAAATGAATTTGTGCATTTGAACAGCTTTGGGATGACCAAACCCTAGCTGTTGATTTGAGCTAACTGTATTTCCTTATGGATGAGCTGCCATGTGTATGAGCAGCATCTAGGGCAGGCTGCTCTGTGGCTTCCAATGTGGAGCACCACTGGCTCAAGAGAAAGGGCTCACAGAACTGTACCTCAGTGCTTTACCAGAGTCCAACTTAAGTCACCACTATTTGTATTTTTAGATTATTGCCTTTGTTACTGCAAAAGTTGTCAGATACATGTCACAACATACACTTTAACAGAAGTTCTGACAGTTCAAAACAGCTCTTCCTGAGGCTAAATAATTAATTTATTCTCCTTCTAGTTACTCCACAGTAAAAGAATGTTTAAAATTCCATATTCTTTTCAAATAAGGCACTTTGCAAATTTCTTCTCCAAATATCAAAAGCTTGAGGTAACTTCACTGATTTCACTAATTTCTTTATAACTCTTATTCTAATAATAAAACTGGTATTACAAGCTGAGTTACACTCACAACTCATGATGCTCCATATGAGGTTTGAGAACATCCAATATGGCTTTCACAGAACACTCTTTTGCTAAAACAGCTCAGAGTAAGTTATAGCACAGTGTGGTCTTTGGGCATGAGATCACTGGCATTTCCTACATAACTCTTACTTTTTGCATCCTGTGGAAGTCAGATGAAAGTTCAGCGTTGAAGGAACTTGACAATTGTCTATATACAAAACCAAGAAATAAATATCCAGCTCCGTAACTTAGAGATCCCACAGAGAACAGAAGATTTTAGTGATTTGCTCTTTCACTGACAACATCCTGCAGACGTTTTAGTAGAACATCATCATTTTCCTGGCAGAGTCGCTTTGTGGGGGATTCAGTGTCACTGTCAATTGTTATTGCTCGCTTCTTACTCCTGTGTTCATCTTGTTTTAACATATTGTTGATGTCCTTCAAACTCTGTGATCAAGACAAAAATAATGAGTTACTCTGACTCCATTTCATACTTACTATATGTCTGAAATATGTTATCCTGCACCTCTGAGTGATGGACTCTACAACCAGAATTCTACCTTTCAAAAGTGAGAGACTATTCATTATAACACATCAGAACTGCACTAGACCACATCCTAATTAGATGACAACCCTTTCTCAACCACTTTCAGCCTTATTTTTGTCTCTACCTTGGAAGGGCTGCCATTGAACTTGTAGAGCAGAGCAGTTCGAGGTGTGAGGCAGGTGCCATTCTTGTGAGGCGACACGTACACGGAGTGCTGCTGGGAGATGCGCCGCGGAGACAGCGGCTGCTGCCGGATGCTGGGGAACGGCGACAGTGGAGGCGCCTCCATCTGCAAGAGAGGACACGTCTGCACAGCAGCTCAATCAGAACATCCTGAGAGCAGGAACTTCACACAAGAGAAGATTAATACACTTCCAGGACTTCTTTAGAATATTTTAACTTGTGGCAGTGAAACAACAGATTAAGTAACGACCAAGCAACAGAATTAATCTTCCAGATGCCTTACAAAGACAGTCCACAGGCATTTGAGCAAACAGGTATTGCATTGATGTAAAGAATTTGGAACTGGGTTTGAAAACTGAGCAGCATCTACATTTGTCCTCTTGAAAGGCTGTTAAAGCAAGTGCTCACACCATTACCTCAAATTATCTGACTTGACCCACACTAGGTGACAAGACAAAGTTATTGACATACATTTAACTGCCAGGAAAAATGATTCTGTGAGTATTAATTCCAAAATACTTTACTTACCACATGATCCTGGTTTGTGATACCGTACTTCAGTGCAAATGACTTTACTCTTCCTACGTAGACTGTGTTGTAAAATTTAATAAGATCTCCTCTCTCTTCTGTTTCTGACTCACTTGAGTTCTCTGCTGCAGATCGTCCCAAGGAACTGCCAGCTTTCACAGATGAGTTTAACAATAAGAGAGCTTCAGATTTCAAAACTACAGCATTGGCAAACCAGACACTCAGAGCTGAACTTATGATGTCCAGCTGGCAAAAACTTGTCCATAAATTGACCCGTTAAAGACAGGAATTCAATAAATATGCTTGATCCAGGAGCAGGGTGTGCTGCAGCTGGTAATGAACATAAGGAGGAGCTACCAATTGCTGTGAGCAGGTTTGTGGGTTATGTCTAAAAATGCCAGTATCAACCTTTATTCCAAACTTGGAAATAGCTGTAGCAAGAAACTGTAGCACAACTGACCCCTTCTTCCATGTTTATTTTGGGGAGTGTGGGGAGTGGTACAAAGCCATTACTTGCTCTTAAAACTAAGTTTTAAGCAGTCTGACAGCTCCCAGCTTTTGGCTTCTCTGAAAGTCTCTTGTGATCAGCTAGAGAAGAAAAACTTGGTGCTCAACTCAGATCTGCAGCAAGGAAGCAATTTGTTCAGGCATATTCTGTTAAGTGGGAAAAGCTGCAGCCACACAGCAAGTGTACTTTTCTTGACGTTTGCTCCCCCCTAATTAAGCTGAAGTGCTACTGAATACAACTGTCTATGTCTCCTGCATTCTGCTGCCTGCCAAGTAAAACAGAGCAGCACACAAAGTCTCTGGCAATCAGTGCCCTGAGACAAACATCCAAAGCTCCAGCTGACACCCATAAGTGACTCCTTTGTCCATCTGCCTTCCTTCTCTCACAACACAAGCACAGCTCCTGTGAACTGGTGTTCAAAAGACCTGGAGTTAATATTACGTAAAGGAGACACGAATCCATAAACTGAAGAAAGTCTAGTAGGAAAAGCCACTGAAGAAGTTTGTAACCATGTGTATTTGTCTGACAAAATACCAGAGCCCAGTGTCACTTCAGATACTCCAAGTCATCCAGTAACTGTGGAGGTGTCAGGCAGGATTTAGATAAGATCAGTACTTTCAATAGCCCTGATAGAATCCTCAGCTGGCCTTTAAAAATGGCTCTAATATTCGCTAAGGCAGATGAATCCCACCCAGAGGGAACTTGTCACAAAGAACAAACTAAATTCCACATGTGTCCTGGTTACAGATCTGCTTATGGGTTCATATATGATCTGCTCTGCTTATGGGCTCATACATGGGCTTTATGAACGTCGGTTCATACATCTCTCGCTTTCCTGACACATCACTCAAAACAGGCATGGCACAGTTCTCACACTTTTCTCAAATACTACTCTTATCCCTTTGCTTCTCTAACCCAGAGCAAAGAAAGCATTACCTATTTAAAAGAAACCTGAATATAAGAAAATGGTGGTCCTGGGGAGTTAGCATTTTTATTTTCTGAAACATGTTCTTCCCACTTCAGTCTCCAGGATAGACGACAAAAAAACCCCACCATAATATTCCAGGTACTGCTTATCTTCATTTTTCTTTGTTATCAGAGTTGCCATCCAAGAAGCACTACAGTATCACTGATATACTAAGAAAATAGTTCCACCCAACTGTAAAACTTGCTCCACTTCTTATTACTTGACAGTTCAGTTCTTTAAAAGCCCCAAGTATGTTACTGAAAAGAGCAGATTCCTTTGCTGTACTCACCTTCTGTCATCTCCATATCTGGGTTTGCATTTTTGTCCAATGGAACATCATCAGAAGTACTTCTCAACAAGACACTCCTATAAACCTACAAGACACCAAGGAAAAACACTCTTGTCAAAGAAAGCAAGGAAGTCAGGAGACTAGATGAAATCCATCTGAACAGGAACAAGTATTACACTGCAGAGGATCTGACTTCTCTTATGAGCACAAAGACTTTGAAAAGCTGCTTCTGAGTTTTACAGAAAGTAAAGCCAATGCTATGGACTTACATGGCTGTTTGCCTGTGGCTGATTTCTGTAACTTTTCATTATGTCCTGAAAAGTTCTTTCCTCTTTGGTTACCTGGAAAAGAAAAGGCTATTGAAGACCAAATGCAAGCATGAAGGCTGGGCTTCTTAGGTCCAGTATGTAGCTTTTTGAGAAGTATTACTATGAATACATAATTTAAAAATATATCTCTAGTGATGAGAGCATGAAACAGCAAAGATTTTTCTTGTTCAGGAATTCCTTGTTTCTTAGCTACTAAAGCTTTTTGTTGCTTATGATGCTTAGGCATTACTCCTTTCCAGACTTTTCTTCCAGTGACACTTAAAATTAAAGAAAGGAAATATTATTAAGTCCAAAATGTGTTTTCTGAATTTGGAAACTGCATCCTTAACTTTTCTAAACAGAAAGTGGGGAAATCCTGAACAAGACATTAGGCAGGTACACACATGCAATTTCACCTTGCTTTTTTATTCCAAAATAGCTAATTTCTTAAAGCACTTTGTTTTTCAGCCATACATCTGTAATTTTAAGAGCAGACAAGCAACAGTTTTTGTAGTAGGAGCCAGGAGACAACGTATCAATGTCTCTGGCTAAGCTGTCAGGTCGCACACTGCACTGGAGACAGCATTCAAAAGTCTGTATTATAAAAAAACCCCAAAACAACTGACAAATTACATGATAAAATACAGAGCACTGACTATTAAATGGCTTTGCTATCAGTATTGACACCAGGTGAACCTAACCCATGCTGCAGTTAAGAGCACAGGTAGTCAGAATTTAAACATCAGTTTCCCTCCACACAGTGCTCCTCTTCATTTGCCCTCAAGAAAAAATAATCCAGCCTCCAGAATTTTGTGTCTGAATTAGGCTTGATGGACACTGTAGCCATCAGCTCAAATTTCAGTCAAACCAATAGTCCAGTTTCACAATCCAATTCAATGCCACCTTAAATTAAAGCTGGAAAATGAAGTAAGAAATTAACAGGCAACCATCTCAATTCCTCAGGCTGAATCATCAAAAGCAAAAATGATTTTTTGGGAAGACAAGCCACCTTACATAAATTTGCTCCTGCAAATTTAGGCACCTGCCTAATTCTGTAATTGTAACGGAATTTTTAGTTCAGATCAACAGATTGCCAAGATGACAAATGGGACAGAAAACAAATACAGGGCAGTAAGACCATACAGTGCTTTGTCTGTGTCAACCAGTGCTCACTGTGAATGCACTCAAAAAGAGAAGAAAAACTCTGTCAAGAATTTCCATCAGCAAGCCATTGAGCTAAGATATGCAAAACAAGGAAAAAACCATACTGAGACTTCATCCAATTCTTGGAAGGACCTTCCCCTTCCCTCCAGTAATATTACACGAATTAATCAGTCAAACTGTAAATGCTGAACACACCTGATATTTTGAACATAAAGTTCCATTAATTTCTTAAAACTACATGTTACCTTTGCCATGATATAAAAAGCACAGAGAAGGAGCTGATCCAAATGCCTGTCTTTCATAAGATCGGCACAATGAACCAATGTGAATTCAAAACATGTCCATATCTTCCTGCACAAGTCATTGGAAACATCCAGTTTTAAGCACAGATCACGCAGGCGCACACTTGCCAGATGATACACCTGGAAGGAAAAGACACACAGTAAAGAGTGAAGCCAAACAAGCTTATCCTGGCCTGCAGAAATAAAAGACATCAAAGCACAGCTATTATAAAGGGCCACAAAGATGATTACAGGAAAGGAACACCTCTCCCATAAGAGATCTGGGAGGGCAGGAGTTGTTTAGCCTGGAGAAGAAAAGGCTCCAGAAAGGCCTTAGAGCCTCTTCCACTGCCTAAGGGGGCTCTAGGAGTGCTGGAGAGGGACTTGGAACAAGGGCCTGGAGTGCCAATGGATTCTCACTGCCAGAGGGCAGTTAGACGGGATATTGGGAGGGAACTCCTCCTTGTGACGGAGGTGAAGCCCTGGCACAGAGTGCCTAGAGAAACTGTTGTTACCTCCTTTCTGGAGTGTTCAAGGCGAGACTGGATAGGGCGTGGTCTAGAGGAAAGTGTCCCTGACCATGGCTGGAGGTGGAATGATTTGATCTTTTAGGTCCTTTCCAACCAAAATAACTCTGGAATTTTTGGATTCAAAGACTTAACTGTCCATTCTTCAACTGTTGAATCTCTAACACTTGCAGAAAGTCCACCTAAAAACATTATGCCTATAGCTTCTGCACCATATCCCTCACTAACTAATTAGGCACTTTATGCTGGAAAGACATAAAGGGGTAGTGTCATTTTCACTTGCTCTACTGAACAGGAGCAAGAAAGGAAACTAGGGGAAAATTATCATTGTAAATACAATGATCACTGTAAATGGAAGGTCAAAATTTGAAAAAAATACAAGTAAAGGTTTTAGCTCTTCTTCATAACTAAGAGAAATTATGTTGCCTATGACATGGTTAGTCAAAGACACAGCTACACTTGAAGCTCTCCCCAGCTGAGAGTAAAACTTCTAAAATGCAATGTTCCCGACTGGCAAATGGCTGATCAATTCTTACTCCTTTCTCAGAGAAACCTCCTGTCATGGGCAAAATTAACGAAACTAAAGTTCAGACAAAGGATGTGACTTACAAGTGTTTCCAGAAATTATTTTTTGTATTAAGATGTACCTTAAAGATTGTTCATGGTAAACTTCTTAAGTTCTATTGTATCTATACAGATATCGTCAAGGGGGAAAACCTCTGAAAAATAACTTACCTAGTAAGAAAATAACAGCAAAGAAAAATCTAATATTTTTGAGAGAGACTAATTTAGGGATATATTCTTTGTAGTCATTTAGACCAAGTTACCCTGCTTCCTCCAAAGACCCTTCACAAGATCAGCACTGCTGGGAGGACTTAAAAGTGGCAAAGGAGTATCTCCAGATGCTGGAGCCACAGCAGCGCAGCTTTGAATGAGCGAGACACAGGAAAACATCTCATGTCAGATCTGTCTAACCCTTGCTAATGTGGGGGCAATCAAAATAGCCAAGACAGGTAAAATCTGAAGTAAAGTATACATTTGGTATTTATTTATAGACGCTCCTAATTAAAAAGAAATCTCATGGGTGGAAAGGAGAAAACCAGACTCTCTGCAGCACTCAACATCTTTTTCCTTCTTCTTCAAGGTATATAAGAACTGCATGTGCCAAGCTTAAGGCACATGAAGACTGAAGGTAATGGGAGTTGCATGGGCAGGCAGGCTCCAGCAAGGCCACGAGAACAAGTACAGCACCCCTTCTGAGTAAGGACACTCACCTTCCTGTAGAACAGTGCCAAAGAGCCCGTTCTCTTTGGTTTGCTGGCTGCTGGCAGCTGCACTTCTTGTGCTTGATCCCCAGGAGGGTGGCAGGGAGCCTGAGCATCCAGTTTACATGGCTGGCCTAAATTAATTGAAATGGGGATCAAGGTGATTCCACCCATGTCATTTGCAACACCTGGAGAGGATACACATACCCAGAAATAAACTGGTTGCTCTCCTTATGATGCAGAATCAAACAGCAAATCAAACTAATATATGAACATTTGATACTAAAGACATTTCATCCTCTGTACTACAGTTTAAAAAGACTCTGACTCTCTGAGTTTTCAGAAATAGTAAAAATTACATTTCTGGTAAGGTTTAAAGGGAGAATCTCAATGTGAATGATCTTTTCTAAAGGTTGTCTTAAAGTACAAAGTTTTCAAGCAATCACAATTTCTGTACTTGGTTTTCCACTCTATTAGGGGAAGGTGGAATTCTTTTTTTTTATTATTCTTATTCAGCAAAACTGGCAGCATATCCTATACAGTCCTCATTAGTTTCCTCAGTAATCGAATTATCTTGCTGAAAATATCCTTAAACATGAGTAGTGCAGAATTTTTATTTTAATCTTTAACTATAGACCTGATTTTTAAATTAAGAAATGGCTATAAACTCATTGCTCATGTATAATTTTCAGAAATATTCAAGTATCACCCAATTTCCACAAAACAGAAGTCTCACAGTATTTTGCTAAAGTTAGCATGTAACTCTTATCGAGAAGTTCCAGAGCCTTTTGAGATTTTAACAGACAAATTGCAGTAAATCATTAATGGAGCTGAAAACCAAAATACTGCTTAATGTATGAGGTATAACTGGAAGAAGCACAAACATTATCTTTTCTTCAAGAGGAGAAATCCTCAGTGTGTTTACCAGGGATCAGATGTCTCCAAGGATGCGATGTTTATATAAACTTAACCTTTTTTGTTGCTGTTGGAGCTTAGGATTGCTCCTTTTGTTTTCTTTCTTTCAGGGAATTTTCTCCCATAAATTTCTAAGAGACAAAACCGACAGACCGGTACTAAAGAGAGACAAAAGAAGTTGCCACAGCTCAAGGTAAAGGTTTGGCTGGCTGCTGTCTTTACCTGGAGTTTTTTCTCTTTGGAAGGGAAAGGATACCTTGAAATTTTGGCTGGGTAGTGAGAGGCTGGGCTGAGCTGCTCGCCTTCTCCCGCTGTTTGGTTCAGAGGAGGATGGTCCAAGTGCTGTTTACTGTGGGGAGTTCGCTGCCGCTGCCAGAGCCCAGCCCTGTCCTGCTTCTGTGCCCTGAGTGAGCGATCGCTCATGAGAGCAGCCCCTGAACTGGGACTTCACTGGCACTCTGCCTCATTGGAAAGGGCCCCTCAGGGGAAAAGACCAGGATCCCGACCCCCAGCCCCTGCCAGAGGACGCATTTTCCCGGCTGTGTGAGGCAGCTGCTGCAGACAAGACCCCCACCTGCTCCTGCCGTTCTTTTGCCACTGCTCTGAGTTTTTGCTACACTACAGTCCCGCACCCCTGGAGTTTCTGCTACATCTCATTTATTACTCTGAGATCTGCTCGCCTCTGCTGTTCCAGCTGCTCCCGAGGTTGCTGCTGCAGCCGGAGGTGCAGCGGGCCCGGCTGTCCCTGAGGGCTCCAAAGGAACCCCTTCTCCATCCCTTCCGCCGGCCCGCCGCCATTGCCGTGCGCAGAGAGGCGGCCGAGCTGCGCCACAGCGCCCCCTGCAGCCGCGGGGGAAGCATCGCCCCCGCCCTGCCCGGCAGCCAGCGGCGCCCCTGCTGGCTGTGCCCGGAACTGCGCCGCGGGGGAAGGGCCTGAGCCGGGACAAGGCCGCGCCGGGTCTGTGCTCTGCCGGGCTCGGTGCTTGTTTGCCCGGCTGTACACACACACGCTGTAAGGAACTGCTATTCCTCTTCCCCTATCTTTGCCTGAAAGCCCCGAAATTTCAAAGTTACAGTAATTAGGAGGGAAGGGAGTCATGTTCTCCATTCCAAGAGAGGTTCCCACCTTCCTTGGCAGACCCCTGTCCTTCAAACCAGTACAGCCATTGTTGAGAAAGTAACTGTTTTTTCAGAAAGAAAAAGCAACACACTTTCAAGATGCATGGTTGGCCTAAGCATAGCTTAAGACTAAAGAAAACATCCTAGTAGAGAAGAAAAACAGCAGGAATTCCTACCATGCAGTGGAATAGTGACCTTCTGTCCCACTTTTCCTGGTCCTGTAGTGGTTGTCATGGTCAGCACTGTCTGGGCAGGAGACACTGACATGTTTTCAGCACCAATGCTTGATGTCGGAGCAATTGTCAGCTTAGTTCCTTTTATTAAGATTTTTTCCATCCGGATTTCTTTGGGGCTGTCATCACCAAAGAGCCTTCTCTTAGCACTTCCAGCTGTAGGAGAACTGTAGCGCTCATGAACGGAGATTGGAGACAATGGCTGCATGTCTGGCATGTCAAGGAAGAAAAAATAAACCCAACAAAACCTTAACAACAGCAGCTTAATGGAAATACTTCTGCAGAGAATGGGAAAGGATATCTTCCAACTACACCAGCAGAGATCACTTACAGCTCAGGCCTGCTCTCAGAGCTCACCGTTCTGAGGTGATAAGAACAAGATCTGTAGTCTGACAGACTCATTTTGCAGTCACCCCAGACAGCACAGTTCTGCCATCAGGTATCACATGGAAGCTGAGCTGCCACTCAGATCCACAGATACTGAGGAACACACAGGATCATAGGTACTTATTCCAGTCAGCCTAGCGATTAGGAATATTTGCAGGCGTTTCTCCTGTGAAGACATTCCTCTAGAGGAACACTGACCACACTCCTTGGACGTGCTATCTTCCCTATGTTCTCACTTTCAAACTCTCTCTAAACTGCTCCTAGTCAGGTGACTCCGCCCTCACATAGCCCCAGTTCCTCTCAGGCTTTTCCGCTGCTTTCAAACATTTACTCCAGCAATAAACCTGAAGTACACAGCACTAATGTACCAGGCTTCTGCTCACAGGGTTCTTACACTTCTGCTGCAGTCTGTCACAATAACAGCAACAAGAATTTCCTATTTTCCATGAATCAAATTATCTGGATAACTGGCCAAGATTGATTGGAGACTGCGGGGATTGAGAAACACGGACCATGCTATGCAAGCAAAGCCCATTTACTACATTAGTCACCAGTATTTATAGTTCTCTAAGTTCTGTACAAAATTTTACACTCAGACCCCTTTGCCCCTGTTCCTGTAGCAACACAATCTTTTCACTTATCAGGTCCCTGTTACATTCCTTTGCGCCAGCAATGTCCTTGTTACATCTTTTCTCCTCAGAGCAGTCAGAGTGACCAGACATGATATCTTTGCTTTTGATTTTGCCTTATCTCTCCCACAGCTTCCCCTGTGCCAGGGCCAGAAGGTTGGTAGTGCTACCCAGCTCAGCTTCTGTAGCTGTCTGATCTTCCACAGGAGACCTTACTTATAACTCTACCAAGATGATTCTCTTGGTACCAAAGACAAATAAACATTTCCTATCCCCACCATCCTCCCAATTGAATTTAGGAGAAGCCTCTAGTACCAGATTCTCAAATATGAAGCTGTGTCTTGCACAGCCTTCCTCCCCATATATAAGACACCATCTCCAATCTGGCTCCTCTTCCATCAGTGAACCTTAACACAGAAACTGCTTGTACATCTCCTTCCTGAGGAGTATTTAAAAAAACACCAAACAGCCTTGTTTGTTGCCAGACAAACACCGAAGGAGACAACATTACACAACCCACCAGTCCATGGAGCACATGCAAGAACATACGGACCACTGTCTGCGATACAACAAAAGCAGCAATTCCTAACTAGAGAAGCATGCAAAGGAAACAACAGTGCTGGCACTGCTTCTGCACCTTCACTGTCAGGAAACAGTGCTGTGTGAGATCCAGGAATCTGCACAGAGCAGCTTCAGAGAACAGAACATTGTAGGCAAAGCATTATCCTCCAGCCCTGCACAAAAACAGTTCTGTAGGAAGCAGGAGTAAGTGTAGCTCTGTCACTGTATCTAAAAAAGTGACAGTGATTAGATGATAACTCACCTCAGAGTAAGGTCACCCTGGCATCAAGCCAGCAGCAAAATCTGCTCCAGTCCAGAATGAAAGCACTGTCTGCTGCCAATGAGTCACAGCACTGGTTTGATGGGGTGCATTTAGACCTTCTCTTAATCAAATAAACTTCATAATTCTGAACTCAATCCAGATTCAAGCTTGCTTTTCACAATTACAAAGACTAACCCCCTCCCCAAATTCACACATTCAAATAATATCAGAAGCCTTGAACTTACCTCGTCTTAAACTCCCACCAAGATCTGTCCGAACCTCTTTCACTCGAGGATGAATTATGGGAGATAATGGCATCATGGGCAAGTGCCCAAACCCACTTCCTCCATTGCTGGCTTCAAAATTACTGGGAAATATTACCTGAGAAATAAAAAATGTCAGTATAAGATATCAAATTAATTTCCCTTCTTTGTGACAATCTATTTATAGAAGATTTTCTGCAGTAATCATCTCATTTGAACAGTTTTCTGTGTAAAACAACAAGTGAGAAAAAGAACATGAATTTCCTAGTAACAGGAATGAGATCACATACTTCTTCACAGGTTGGGACTTTGTTTTCTGAGGCCTCAAGTGCATCCCAGAGTGCTGAGTGCCGAGTCCAGGCCAGATTCTCCAGGATCTGTTCCTCAATGCTATTGAGGTGCTTCACCATGTCTCTGGAAAGTCCTTCCTCAGACCGAATCAGCACTTCAATAACCTGATGACAATGACACACACACACACAGAGCAATGTCACATTGCTCATGTTTAACACCATCTAACTGCTATTTATTTCAGGCTCCTGTTTAAAACGTCAACACAGAATTGCTCCAGTCTCCTCACATCTTCATCTTCCCCAACCCTCTTATGATCCCTTTTTGTTTAACCCCCTTTCCCAAAGCAACCTGAGGGCTGGAAGATGACAGCAGATATGCCATCAGTGCAGAACAATCCACTCCACGGGTTTTTAGGGCCCTCTCTCACCCATGCTAATTGTGCACAAGTAAAAGCACTGGGCACACGCAGCACTGACCTGGGAGATGTGATCAGGTACAGCTGCTCAGCAGGGGATGTGACAGCCCCACCAATTCAGCTCTTGCAAACAAGCAGCCCATAACACGAGGAGCTGAAAACCGCTGCTTTAAAGTTTCATTTAAGAAGCACTCAGAACCCTTAACATGGATGAATGGGGGTTGAACAGAGCTGACTGCAGTATCATATTCCAGCACAAGATCCACCCTGTGTTACTCCTGTCAGAGGAGCATTCAGCCTGTTTTGCTAAAGCTCTAGGGATGGAAATGCCATAAAAGTTCCCTGGAAGACCTATTGATATGTTTGGTTATTCCTGCTAGAGAAGCTACACCCAGAGAAAAAAGTTACAAATGTCACAAATCTCTCTTATGTGAGACCTTTGCAATGGCAATTTTTGTCCAAACAAGAGTGCTGCAAGAATATACACTGAATAGCTGAGAAAATTAAAATCAAACATAAATCTGTTCCATAAAGTTGGATGAGCGCCAGTTTGGATGGAGCCTACCATCAGCCACAGCAATATTGACAGATTTGTTACAGCTCCAGTGCTGCCCTACAGCTGAGGAGTAAAGGAAAAAGGAAGGACAGATAATGAACCAGCTTCCTCAAAGGCTTCCATTTTTTGGTTGCTGTCATCTAAACAGAACTACTTGATTTATTCAGAACTAACCCCAGTTAGGTTATCGGCTAGGTATCCAGCAAAAAATGCAGGCATATGGATGGGTGATAAAAGGATTGAAGTAGACGAAAATCAAGTTACACTGGAAGTGGGGAAAATGTGATTAAATGAAGAGCAAAACCAGAGAAAACCCTGGAAAAGATATTCTGTGTTTTGTTACATAAAAGAAAACCCCCCCAAACTTAGCAAAGCAAGCCTGTGATAAGTAGTAGCAGCCAAAGGCAACATTTCAGATCATTTCAGTAGCTATTTTAGAACTACATTGTAGTCAATACATATAAATATCAATAAAACATATGCTTGAAGGCTTTAGTCCAGTTAAAATTGATCTGCAGTATGTTAGAGATCAGTGCAATTTACAAAATGGGGTTTTTACTTTATATTTCAGCTTCAGCTCTGGCATTACACCTTCCAAATAATACACTTCAGGACAGTCAGAATTTAGAACAGGCCTAATGCACAGTTAATATCAGTCCTTGTCTTACCTGACTCCCTAGGGAGGAAGAGCATCGTCCTCTATGACTCTCAATCCAGTAACATACCATTTGTAATACAGATGCTGCCCTAAGCCAGTGTTTATTTACCTTATAGAAATAGAATGGCTTGAGGTCAAGAACTTCAATGATCCAGGGGAAGGTGCGAGGGGAGCTGTAAGCAAAGAGCACAATCTCCAAACAGCAGGCGAGGAGGGAGCGGTGAAAGAGATCCTGTTCCAGGAGAGCCTGGAGAGAGCACACAATGGCACTAGCCTCAGATTTGGGAAACAGAAGTAGGAATTTTGTGGCACTAACACTACACAGCTTATTGTTGGAAAGAAGCCAGCTTCTTCTCCCATCCACAAGCTCCTTTTTGCAGGGAAGCTGGGGAGAACAGAAGTAGAGTAACAACACCAAAACGATCACATTTTGCATGCTATGGACAAATGAACTGGCCTCCTTGCTGTGCAACATAAAGCAGAGCAAATGCAGTGCTGTCTAACATGAAGTATTAGTACTGTTCATTGGGTAAAGAAGATAATAAAAGTTATCTGTCCATAAAGTTGTAATTCTAGAAGGCAACACAAATTCAAATGTTTAGTTATGATAGTTATATTGGTTTAAATAATAGAAGAAAAATACATTTTGGCAGTTCCCATATATTTCCCCTTTTTAGTATTAACAACATATATAGAGTGCTTTACAGTGCTTTGTTCTGGAACCGCCTGAAGATAAACTCCAAGAAACAGTTTCAAAAAGTGTTCTAATCTTTCACTGGTTCTTTACTTACAGTCAAATCCTTCCCATGCAGTCTCCGTGTTTCTTGTACCATTATAGTCTCCAAGATTTTATAGTACAAGATCTCTGCCAGTTTTAATCTGTTTACAGCAAAATCTGAAATTTAAAATCAAGAGAGATTAAGTCCAATGCCACTGGCACAAACAGGGTTAAGACTAAACTGAGCAGCACCTGTTCTCATCCAAAACAATAGTTCATGTGAGTACATACATATTTTGCAAACAGAAAAAAAACGTTCAGAAATCCACTAGTCCCAGGTACAGCATGAAAATCCCTAAGTATTTGAAAGGATTATTTATTGTAATATTTCTTGTGATGTAATTTTGCAATAATAATTTTCCTATTTGCTTTCAATTTCCTTTAAATTATAAAGCTAACAAGAATGCAAGTTTCTACTTATTAAGAGTTGCTTTTCCATGATTTCTTGGTTATCCCAGTTTGAACTACAGCCTTGGGTTTACTCTGCCATAAACTTATTTTTTACAGTGTACTGCTTAACAGCAGCAGTTTTCTGCTTGGGTGTATCCTGGAATAAAACAAACTTCACCATATAAAATACAGAAAACAGTAGAGGTATGCATTCTGTTTGCCCTGGTTTAGTATTTTGAAACACCCCATGCCTTTCACTCCATACCTATGTGAGATCCTGGCTGCTCATCTGTTGACTGAGTGTAGCTGCAACAGAAGGTCTCACCAATTTCCTTTACTCTGCTCATGATGCTTTCCAAGGGGCTGCGGGCACAAGACCTGAATCCAAAAGCAAAGAAAGCCTTGTTTACATAAATTAATATCCAGTTTAAAAATAAACATAAAGAAACAACAGCAACCATAAAACCAAAATAAAAGGATAAGCCAATTACACCAAGCATTCCTCATCAGCAGGAACCTGTATTACACAGACAGAGGAAAACATAAAACATACACAAGTATTGGGTCCTCTCTTCCTAACAGGGCCAGGGCTGATATGCAGCTCTTGGAACAAATACAGGAGAAAGCAAGAACCACAGCAGCACAGAGGAGAAAGATGAACCTGCCAGGAGTAAGGATACTACAACAAGCAACCAACCAACCAAAGGCACCCACGACACCACGCAGGCCAGGCTCAGTTTGAGGCAGCACAGAAAAGCTCAGAGGGAAGAGGCAGCAGCATCTTCCCATTTCCTACCAAGACTGGGAGAATTTATGAACTCCACATTGTCACTGCCATAAAAAGGGGCCATAGTATCTCTGGCTGGAGATGCTCTTTCTGAATGCTTCTGAATTTTCCAGCAACTCTGTTTTAGAGGACAGTGGCCCGTGGCTGATGTCAAATTAAGACACTAAATTACTCTGAAAAGCCAGAACTAAAATCAGCTACGGTTTTTCTTTGAACAAAGCCTTCTAATTAACTTCAAAGCTTTTCAATGTAATTTTAATTTGAAAAAGAAAATACTGAAAAGCACAGAATATTACACAGTCTCAACTATAGTTTCTCCATTTCTTCCACAGACACAGTATATATACCAGGGTGCTTGCTGAACTCACATCCAGGATCAGCAAAGTACTCACCACAGCTCTCGCCAAAGGCTTATGTAATTCTTGTTCACATTTTAATATTTACCTCTCACTTGACAGTCTGGTTTATTATTTGGAACAAACACATATCTTATCAGAGATTACAGACACATTAATGTCGTAATTGTACAGTATAAATAGTATCAGTCCTTATATAAAAACAATCAAAGAAACATTCAAAACAAATACATCCCACATAGCACAGCTGTAAACTTTTAGGAACTAGTGCTAGCAAAACTTTCAAATATACATAACTCCACAGATAAGAACAGTAAGTAGTATTTTTACCTGTTTATGATGGTTACTTTTAAAGAAACATTGCTTCTGGACTTCAAATATTAAGTACTAACACTAAATGTCTATTTTGATTCAAAAAATACATCTGGAGACACCATAACACAGCAGGACCTTAACTTGGAAAGGCATTAGGCAAACACCCAGCATCTTTACAGGTATTTACTATTCAATTACTGCTTTTTATGAGCTATGCTCAGGGAGGAAGGCAGTAATCTGAAGTGTGCTCAGAGAACAACCACCAGAACATCCTGAGTGGGTGCTGCTGCTATTCCAGGTCAGCACTGACAGTGACCACGGTCACTGCGAGGCTCATCCTCGTGCCATGGGGTAAGACCAACACACTTACAGTAGTGTGAAGGAAAAATGAACAGCCTGTAGGCTGCTCTTAGTTTTATCTTCCCAGCTGAGGGTGAAGACTGTAGCTTGTTCACCTGAACAAGCCCTTCTCCAAAACCTCTGCCAACATGGTTTCCACATTGGTAAGTACTTGTTTAAAATGTAAACAAACAAAAAATACATTTGGCTTTCAATCAGACAGACAAATCAGCACCAGCAAAAGCTGAAGCCCCATTAACACAATGGTGGTGACAAGTCATATGGGGGGGGTGTGCGTGTGTTCAGCCATCCTTCTCCAGATAAAATCATTGAGCAAAGAGAAGACGCTTCAACAAGACATAATACAGAAACACAGACCAGAATATTCTGCCCCAAAGAAAAAAAAAAAACCCAAAAGATGAGTTTCTGTGTCAATGAAAGCAGCTGAAGTGGACATACTCACTCAAAAATAGCTGTAAGTTGTTCACTTGGTGCATTTTTCAACCCAGCCACCATGCTCTGCAAACGGCTCACGCTCTGCGTGGCTGAAGCCACAGGAGTGACAGCAGTTTCCTTTTCTCGCAGGTATCTTCTCCCAGTCAGTGGAGTTGAAGGTGCAAATGACCTTTTCTGTCAAAAAAAAAAAAAAAAAAAAAAAAAAATCAGCCAACAAAACTGTTTTAATTACCTTCCAAATGAGCATCTCCTGCAAAATTCCTTCAAAGATTAAAATTACACCTCTAGTACAACCACACGAAGGCTTCACTTGTGAGCTCAGAAGTGACTAAAAATGAGCCGAAGTTTCCCCAGGACTTCATAAATATAAAATATAACAAATCTTCAAGCAGCCAAAAATGAGCTCAAAGAGATTTTACAACTAAAACACAGTAAAACAAGACCTGAAATCTTAAAAGCTGTAATTTTTTAGGCTCATTTGAACATTGGAAATACAGGGCAAGGAAGAGAAAGCACATGCTTCCATTCTCAGTCCCTGACTGCATTAGCTGGGTGACACAAGGAGTGGGTGGCAGAGCTGCCCAGGAGAGGCTCACAGGAGAACATTCCTTGGGAAATGGGCCTCCCTTCACCCTCCATCCAAAGGATGAAGTGGCACTGAACAGATGGAGCTGTGTGGACTGCACTTACCTATTTGTATCCTGCTCTCTGGAAGTAATACAGTCATGTTTTTGGATTTAATTATCTGAACTGACAACATTCTGAAGGTACAAGGCAAATAGTGAGAAAAAGTGAAGCCTGCAGTCGTTGTGCATAAACATTAATATTATTATACAACAGAAACAGAAGCTCAAAATTAATAAAACCCTTTCCAAACTCCCATCTTTAATTTGCCTGAATATGGAATACACTTATATTTGGGAGAAAAAGCTAAGACATATGATTCATTTACACTTGCACCAGCATCTTAGAATAAGAATTTTTTTATTTTTTGAATTGAAATGAAAATCAAATAGCATATGGTTCTTACACACAGCCAATACTATTTTTCCCCCTTATCCAAGATTAAAAAGTAATCAAGCAACTGTTTTCCTGCATGTCAACTTCATTAAATACATTTTACATTTTTAACCACAGTGAAACATTAACTCTCTTTATAAGTTACATTTTGTAATGAAGAGAGACTTTGCTGGGGCTTATGCATGAATCTTACATTCCATAGAAGATCAGGAAAGTTGACTTTTCCTTTCCTAAGAAATGAAACAGTGGAAAAATTAATTCAGTGTCAAGCTTTTGTGGTATGATTATGGGGTATAAATGAAGCTTGATCAAAACTAAGACATACATGTGTAGGAATTTATTACTTAGGGAATCAATTACTTATTGATTTTTCTGGCACAAAACCAAACTATACACATGAAAGTGTACTCATTCTGTTTAAGGAATAGTTCTTTTAAAAATTCCACAGGAAAAAAGATACCATTTTTTCTCCTTATAGCAAGACAGCACTGAAACTTGTGTTCACCATCTTCCTCTAAGGAAGAAGAAATTTCAAGTCACCTCAATGATTCAAAGAGTGTATAAGGGCAAGAAAACTTGAAGGAGATCTTCAAGTGAGCTTGCCATGCTAAATGAATCACCTTTTCAAAATGCTGCTGCAGATGACACTCCATGTGAGTTCTTGCTGCTGTTTTCTCTCCTGGCACATCTGCAGGGAATTTTCGAGTGCCAATTTCTTCTTCAGCATCAGCTCCCAGGAAAACTCTCTCATCAAAGTCACCCACAGTCAGAACATACTCTTCATACTCTTTATTCAGTGTTTTGCTGAAAGAGAAGCCCAGGTTTGATACCAAAGGTTTAACTGTTGAAGAAACAAAGAAGGTGCCCCAGGAGTGCAGGAACAACCCCAAACCAACACAGGGCCAGAGTTTCATGCTCTGGACAGCAGTGCGTCTCCCAACCTCCCTGAGCAACCTGCCCCCCGTCATCCCTGCCTGCCCTTGGACCCAAAACCTCTCCAGGATCACTGCAGGAATCACTCTTCTACCAGCATTTGCATCTCAGTAGGAAGAGGGGAAAAACCAACTTTGCTTTCACACCAGTTGTGAATAAACCAATCTGGAAGTGCTCAGCTGGTCAGAGGTTAAATCTGTGCACCAGGGAGAACTGCACCAAACTCACTCTGCTGCATTTCTGGGTTTGCCACTCTGTAGCTCATAATTCTCCTAATGGTGCAGAGGAGGGGAAAGTGAGGAGTTATCTGCCTGGGTTTTATTTCTAAAATCACCACTGACTTGTGATACCAAACAAATCCTTCAGCAAACCCAGCTGGAAAAAAGGAATGTGTAATGCCACCAAGGTTGCAAGGCTTTAAACATATACTTGGGAAGTAGAAAGAAACTTCACAATGAAAATCAGAAATGGCTTGAATGAATAATCCTGCCTGCAGTTGGGTCAGGAATGCAGTTCCAGCATGTATAATAATGCAATACAACAATGTATTCACAACACAAGCAACTCTGTGATCCCACAGGAAACCTGACTGTATCACATGCTCAGCTGCTCCATGTCTTTTAGGAAAACGTAAAGGTCTGTGTAAAGTTGGAGAAAAAAAAACCCGGAGACGCTTACAAGAGTCTTTGAGTGTCAGAGTACTTGCAAAAGAACAGGGACTACTGTATCACTCCATATAACAGTGTTACTGAAGGAATACTAGTAATCTTAAAGTATAAATACTAGGAGAAAATCAATGTTCAAAGAAATAAGTTTATATCTAAATTGAGATGTTATCTACATTGTTAAAACAATTGAGTCTGTGCTCAAAATTCCCAAAGCAAACCAACAAGTAAAAAGCTCACAAACAAAAGGCAGAAACAAATTAATAGGCAATTTTACAAAAGGCAAAAAAGATTGACAAAGATTTTTTATAGTTTGCATTTAAAGTAGCTTTCAGAAGTTAATTCATAGTTTCTGAAACAACTGCACTTCCGTCCCACAGAAATTTTTCACCTCCTTTTTGTGGCTTTGCAATTGTAGCTTTGTTTCCTTTTGAATCCATCTGCTGTATCCACTGATTTATACACTCAATTAGAGATAGAGAAATAAATTTAGAGATTTCCCTACTTGGGAATAATATGTGTGTAGAAACATATCTGTAACCTTCAGAGCCAAAGTTTTAGTTTGCATTATATTATTCAAAGATTACAGTTGCCAGAGAATCAGTGCAAGCACCAAAAAACCAGATATCAAGAAAAAAATCTCTGCAGCTTGAACCCCTGACATTGGCTACACCTTTGATCCAGATAGTGTTTCAGCCAGAGAGCAGCTTTGGTGGTCAAATAATCAAATCCCATTAGACATGGCAAGACAAAGAAATAGGAAAACTGAGATTTAGTACACAAAGGCACGTGCTTTAGACATGAACCAAGCCCTGTCAATGAGAACAAAAGCTGTAACTTACCTATTTTCTGTAAAGTTGCAAAGATCCAAGAGACAATCTCCTTTTAAGATCTAAGAATAAAAAGCAGAAGTATCTTAGATAATAAAATCAAAACAGTTTCAAGTGTGAGAACATGATGGTTTTAGTCAAAAAGAAAACGTGATTTAGGTGCATAACTGGACTCTTTTTTTTTGACCTAGATCAAAGGGCTACAGTGCCATTACCAAGACAGAGCACAAAGCGCAACTGGATCCAAGCTCCAGACAAACTCAGTGCTCAGAGCCAGCCCTGCAATGCGACATCTGCTCATTGCTGGCTTAGGGACTGACTTGATGAGCAACTACAAAGAAACTTCCTCAGAGCTTGGAAAACATTTCCAGGATCAGAACTAGACAGGACAATTTGTACATGTGCAACCTCAACCCCTCCTTCTAAAGCATTTTGCTCAACTTCAAGAAAAGCAGCAGGAACTACACTCCCATGACACACATCCCATACAATTATTTCACGAGATCACTTTTTTTTGCCTGAAGAAAACACCATCCTTTATGATTCAGTTTCACACTGCCAAGAAAGGAAAGATTTTTCAGTGACATAAAAAGCTGAAACAGATGAGACATTACAGCACACATCATCAAAAGTGTGAGGCAATTCTGCTCCTGCTAAAATGCAAAGAAAACCTGAGCCAGCCCGAGTTCCTTTGCTTATTAACAAGTTCCTTTGCTCTCCCCTGTGGAACCTGCATGACTTAAATGATCTTGAGACCACCACGGAGCACCACCAAGTGCTCATAAAACTCGCAAGATGTACCTTCCTATCAAACAGCTTTGCAATGTATGGTTTGAAGTAGTGCTCCTTTATGCCTTTAGCTTCCACGAGGAGCCCGTCATGCAGCTCGCAGAGCATGGCAATGATGCAGGGAGGATCCTCAGAGGCTTTGATCTCCAGAGTGTGGAATTCCACTGGTAAGCCTAGGAACCAGGAGGAAGGGGGAAGACAACCAACCTTCAACTTCATTTCAAATGAGCCAAGAGAACAAAGCACAGTTGATTGTAAATAATCTATCCCCACCCTACCTTTAAATGATGGATTTAGCACATCTCTTCTGTTTGGACACAGAAGGGCATTGGCAAAAATCAGGTCCAAGCAGCACAGAAGTAAATGATAGGAATTTACTAAATCATCTCCAATCATACGGAAATTACCTTTAAGAGACAGCACATCATGTCAAGCAACACAGCAGAAGGTCACAGCTGGGAATGTATACAAACCATGCAGGCAAAGCAAGCAGCTTACCCTTAGTGTACACAAAGAGAGTCCAGCAGAAGTTGAAGAGATCTTTGACGCTGCACGGCACCCGTCTGTCAACAAGAGAAATAGGGGGAGAAGTTACTCTTCAGTTCCAGGAAATCAAACCTTGTTCTACAGTTCAAATTTCATTCCATTTCCCTGCTTAAAATAACAGCTGGAGCTGCTGTCATAATTCCACACTAAGGCACAGTCTAAGCTACATGTCCCGAGTTCAGTTCTCACTGCCTGACAGACAATGCCTGACCTGGCTCCACAGAGTGTCCTGCACTAACCACAACTTCTCAATCCTGTTCCCAAGCCAAAGGCTGCTTCTCGACTCTGACCCTGCCACACTATTCTGCTGGTTCGTACCTCCCACAGAACCCTCTTACGGGTGGGGAGGCGACAAAGGCTATATATATTCCAGTGATGGCTTTTCCAAAATATTTTACTAAAGCATTAGCCATTTCTTCACTACAGGCAATTGTAGCTTGTACTACAACTCAGCTGCTGACTCCTGTTTGGAGCAGAACTATCCAAGCCCATGGAGCTGGAAGACCAAGGAAGACATGACTCAACCCACAGAGCAGCCAAAGCTGTGGTGGCACCAACCAACACTGCTCTGAGAAAGGAACACCAACAAAGCACCCAACAGAGCACCTCCCCCTGCACTCTGCCTGTGGATGTGGAGCTACACTGGAGCACTGCACCACAACAATGATCCCCCCTCACATACAGAGAACCCACATGAGCTGATAAAAACACCTTGCAGATCCATAGCTTGGCTCCCTCATCCCAAAGGTTATAATCTCACTACAAAGCTGTCCCAGCCAGATATTCTTGCAGGGAGTATGGACAAGCTCCTTTCAGTAAGGCAGACATTCCATGTGTGCATTGAAGATGACACCACACGTTCCCAAATTTGTCAAAAAATGAGCACATCAGCTGTAACTTCCCCCCACTTGGTGTTTCCACTCATCTGGCAACCACAGCAAACACCTGGCAGCGCAGCGTGGAGGTCACAGGACGTGACAGCCCTTGAGCAGAGGGATCACGGTGTCACACCAACCCCCTGCCAGCACTGTGCCAAGACAGAATACTGCTGTGCTACTTCAGCTATTTCTGCTAAATGTTTGAAGTGTTGATCTCACTGCACCTTGAAGCTAACCTACCTCAGGGTACCTCTCCCCACCACACCCTGACACTCTCACTGTGGGACAGCTCCTGTTACAGCAGCTGCATGTGCAGCTGACCTGAGCTGCACCCACCGGGCTCAGGGGTGGCTCTGCACTGGCTGCATTTCAGAGTCAAAGAGACCCCATCACTCTGGAAATTAATTTTCGTAAACTTGTATTGGGTATAACTCCTTCCAGGGAAAAATCACATCAAATCTAAAAAATACCTCTGCTTCCTGCTTCGATGCGGTTTGGAACTTTCTTCATAAGGGTTTTGAAATATATCAAAAAATATTGGTTCAAACTTTTTGAAAATCACAGTTGACACTTCAAAATTTCTCTCCAGCCTCTCAACTCGCTCTCGGAATTCCTGGGGCAGGTTTGACATGTCCATCCACTTCTTCATTTTGCTAAAAAACTGAATTAAACTTAAAAGAAAGAAGAAAAGTCTGTTTTGAGCTTTAACTAACTTCCATTCTAAAATTTTAAAAAGCCAAAATGTAACATACTTGCTCCTTTAAAGATTGACATAATTACTATGTAGGTTTACAATTTATTTTGATTAGACTTCCAAACTGCATGTATCAGCTTTTTGCCTTTTATCACTCTGGGGTTTCTCCTTGACCTTTTTTAAGGCACGGGAACATTAACTTGATGTGGAGGCTGCCAGCATGGCTGTGTAGAGCAGGGCAGTGGTGAACAGCAAAGTGCAGGCACAGCTCTGCGAGTGTTGAGGTGGAGGTAGGACAGGGAACAAAACAAGACAAGAGTCAATGCCTGTCAAAGTTACCTGCGCAAAAACCTGTCAGCTGGGGATGTAAATAACTGACAACTCCTCCAGCAGCTCAGCAGAGAGCGGGGTCTTTAAATGGAATGAGCAACATTCCGGGCTCCATGTCCCCAGGTCAGAACGCCGGCGACAGGGCAGCTGCTGCCGGGGCCGTGCAGAAGGTGAGTTCTGTGATCATCTGTGCTGCATTCCCAGAAAAACCAGCGTCTGCCAGCACTCCATCGAGATTTGGCCTGAATCCTGAGTCAGGCACACGTTGTACCGGGATGGCACGCGCCTAAATGTTTGTGGTAAAATTAACTACGGAGAGAAACAACTGGCGTGTGTAGAACAGCAGCTGGTCCGACATGGGTGGTTTCCTAAAGGCTTGAAGTTGGAAATTACGCATTTGCATCTAATTTCCATCTGTAATAACAGCGGACTTACTGCTTTAAGCTCGCCGTGGCTGGCAGCGCTGGGAGCGAAGGAGAGGCTCCCGCACTAGCGGCTCTGGCAGGGCAGGGCAGGGCAGGGCAGGGCAGGGCAGCCCCGGCGCTGAGTGCTCGGCCCCAGCCGGGCCCGGCCCGGCGGGCGGGGCGCTCACCTGAGGCGTGCGGAGCGCAGGATGCGGGTCAGGGAGACGCCGTTCCCCTCCATCGGGCTGCTCCCCACGGTGGGCACGCGGCTCCGGCGGCAGGCGACGTACAGCGCGCAGGCCAACCAGTGCAGCGCTTCGCCCTGCGGGCACGGGCGCCGCGGTCACCGGGGCAGCGCCGCGGCCACCGGGGCAGCGCCGCGCCCCTCAGGCTCGGCCGGAGCGGGACCGCGTCCGCCCGGCCGGCCCCACCCGGCCCCGCTCACCTCCAGGCTGTAGGTGCCCCGCAGCGCCGTGAAGTCGCGCAGCGCCTCGGCCGCGCTCGCCGCGTCCAGGTTGAGCTCCCGGCAGAGCCGCTCCACGGCGGCGCCGGGATCGGCGGGCGCCGAGCGGGACATGGCGGCGAAGCGCGCGCCAAAACCGCCGGAAGGGCGGGGCTGCTTCCGCCGCGGGGCGGGGCCGGGGGCGCGGGCGGGGGGCGGCGGTGGCGGCCGGCGGGGGTCACCCGGGGTCACCCGCTGTCACCCGGGGTCTGTCACCCGGTGTCACCCGGTGTCTGTCACCCGGTGTCACCGTCAGCAGGCGGACGCTCGGTGCTGGCAGGTGCTCGCGGCCCGTTCCCGCGCAGGGCTTCGGGAGGCCGCGGCAGGAGCGGCTTTTCCTCGGCCCCCAGCGCCCTGGCACACGCGTGGCTGCGGCATCTTCTCGGCGGCCTCCGGGCCCCGCGCCCCGCAGCGCCGGGGATCCGCTCCGCTCCCGTGCCGCGGCCCCGCTCCCGTGCCGCGGCCCCGCCCCGATTCCGGTCGCAGCGGGCGCTCAGAGCGCTTCTAGGTCCCAGTTCCACCGGAACCGGCGCCGCCGGACGGGGCCCCCTCGGGAGCGCCCGTGTCCGTCGGAAGCCGTGGCCACGGAGACACCGCCCGCCCTGTGGGCAGGAAAGCGGCTCCCGACCTCTGGAAGGGGCTGGAGTCACGCGGCGTCCGCAGCTCTGGTTCGAGGATAGGGAACGGGGCTCTGAACCCGCCCGTCACTGGAGGATACCTGAACCACCTCCCTTCTGCTGGGACGGAGAACACACCGAGCACGCCCGGCGGACCCCCCGCCCCGGTACCTGCGGGATGCGGGGATGCTCAGAGGCGCGTTCAGGACCCGGCCCCGCCGCACCCGCTCACTCGGCAGCCCCTGCCCTGCCCCGACGTCCGACCCCACTCAGAGATCCTGGGGTTGGTTCTTGAAAATGCTCTTCTGCAAAGTGCAGGGATCAGTTCGTGGGATCCGCAGGCTGGTCCCTCACAGAGAATAAAATCAGTTTAGTGCTTTCCAAAACATAAAAACCACCATTAATCCAACATATAAATCTATCTGGAAAATACTGGCCATAAGAGCAAGGAAAACTGCCTGTCATAAGCAGACAGGAAATCTGTTTCATTTGTGGTATTGAGACTTTGGGTCCCACAGGCTTATTTATTCCTTCTGGACCAGAGATGTGTCTTCCTCTAGGTGAGCCCAGCTCTGGTTTTTGTGCATCTTTTCCTCTATCAGAAATCTCTGTCCTTTTCTGGAGGGGAAAAAAGACATAGTGAGGTTTTCTCTTACAATTTTGTTTTTCCAAAGAATACGGGCAATTCCTGTACAATGTCTCCCTGTGCTATAGCACAGCCAGCTGAGAAACTTACAACCAATGCTTGGCAGGAGCCCAAAGAGAGGAGAGGCTGGAGCATCTGCCATGGCTCTCACTCCCCTCAGTTCCTCCTGCAACAGCTCCAGGACACTGCTGTTTCTTGAAACCTGAAGGCTCATGCCGGGCTTGCCTGAACCAATGTGTTCAGGCAGGCTGGGACTGAGTTCCAAGTTAAACCAGTAATGTCACATCTCATCCAGACCACTGGCAAGCGGAGCCAGGTAGTGGTGCTGTATGGAGTTGTTCATTAATTAAAATCCCACTGGAGGGAGAACAAGGCCACACAGGGAGTGAGACCGATCTTCTGCTTGGGCTGAAGATCTTGCATTGTTTTATACCTCTTGAGGTGAAATCTTGATTCTTCAGAAACCAATGGCCTCCAGGCACCCCTGGGAGCACCATGGAACAACCAGCATCCCCAAAAGCCATGTGGGAGAGTGAGGATGATGTTCCTAAGCCTGCTGTCCAAACGCACAAGGCACACTGTGCAGATTGACAGGAAGGGGATTGAGAGAGAAGCTGGACTTCTCCTCCCTCTGCTTTTCCAGAGATGCTGCTCTGCAGCACTGGCAGCACTCTGTCCTGGCAGCACTGCCTGCTGTCTGGTGCCCATGGCCAAGCATGGGTGCTGTGGGCAGCTGGGCACTGCTACACGGGGTGTGAAGCATCTGGGGGCTTCACCAGTGGCTGAGTGCCTGGAAACTGCTTTGAAGTTGTAAAATGTGAGGAGATTCCTCACATTTGATCTCATGGCTCGGCCTGTGCTCCAGAGCTCTGGGGCTGAAGTGGCTCCTGAAGAGGTAAGGAACAAAACTGCACTGAAAAGCTCGAATTTAAATGCAAACCAGATGTCATTAGAGAAATTGCCTTCTGCTCACTGCTGACCAAGATTTCCAACCCCAAATCCTTTCTTGTAACTGTCAAGAGCCAGAGTGGGGACATCTGCACCTGGGGTAGGTAAAGTTCCCCCAACCATGGCTCAGTGCTGAGGAAAATTCTTCCCCCCTTTTTGTGACTATAAAGGGAATTAGAGATCCTATCTAAATGTATGATGAGACTTCTGTCAGATAAAAACCAGGGAAGGACAGCAGGGATGTGCAGCTGTGCCTGTTTTACTCTCTCCAGGAAGGGGCACTTGTATCCTGTAAAACACAATAGGGAGCAAGCTGCGCCCACAGTGCCCATCCTCCACCACATCCACTCACTGCCACAAGCAGGAAGCACACCTTGTCTGAGAAGGCAGAGACCAGCCACCATTGATGTGACAGCTCCAAGCCAGCACGTGCTCCTTCAGGGCCCTCCTGCTGCAGCTTCTGCCAGCAAATATCCTGCATTATGGATGCCGAGCACAAGGCTGCAGTGTGCGGAGCCAGATTTTAAAGAGAGACTCTGGAATTGGAAATTCATAGCTCACTATACCATTTTGCCAGTCTTTTCTGTGGGGTACTTTTCTATTTTTCTTCCCCAAAGGAGCAACAAAATACCAGGACAAGGTGTTTACACAGGGCAGGTGGAGCAGTAAAAGCACTGCTTTTACTTTGTGTCTTTTTTCCTGGATCTTGGAAGAATAGAGCTGGTCCTACACATCATTCTGATGAAACACTGACAAATGTCTGCTTTGCTAAAGCCTGAGATCCTTACACAGAGATTTAGGACAAGCATTTCACAAAACTTGGAGGTACAGGAAGCACAGGGAGAGGAGCCCAGCACCCCCAGTACCCCACCTGCTGTGAGGGGCTGTGCACATGCCAAGGGGTGTAACTGCTTGGAGGGTGGGGGTGTGTGAGACAACTGTGGAGGCCTCTGGACTTTCACCCACCCTTGCGGAAAAAGCAGGTCAGCAGAGAGCTCTTGTACATCCTCCGTGCTTAAACTGTCCCTGGAGCTTGGGCTGCTCCTGGCATCTTGCAACCCATGTGGAACATGAGTTCCCTCAGGCTGGCGAGTTCACCCAGGGCGCAGCGGGAGCTGTGGCTTGGCCCCCTCACAGCCAGCAGCCCAGTAACACACAGGGAGGGCACCAGGAGCAGCCTAGAGCAGCGACCAGGCTGCTGTTTTCAACAGCTTCTCAATGGGATCATGCTGAGAAAAAGGCAAGTCACGTTTATCACTGAGTCAGGTGAATTAAACATTCACATATATTTGCTGAAAAAAATTATATACATCTGTAGCAAGGCTCTCCCAAGTCTGAAAGATAAGCATCCTCTAGTCACTGAATTAAAAAAATAAAAATCTGACTTTTAAATATTTTTCTTTTTATCCATGTTCAAGAGCACAGACAGTTTATTTTGTTAGCACATTTTGTGAAGGATGTATGTGTGTGAATAGCCATGAAAACCAGTCAAAATTTGTCATTTGTTTGGGATATGATGGAAAAGAAGAAGCAGCCACTTAACGCCTTACAGTCTAAATAATCCACAGAGTATATCGGGTTGCAAAAGGGTCACAAAGTAGCAAAGAGAAGCCTAAACACTCAGAGACGTAGCATACATGTCTGCTAAGGAAGAACAAGGTATAGAGCATGCTGGCTAATTAAATAAATTCCACTTTAGACCCTGTTCCTTATCCATGTAACCCTGGAAAAATCATCCCATAACAAGAAGTAGACTCGGAAGAGATTTCTGTATCCATTCACAGTAAGGCTTTGAAGATATATGAAGTTTTATAGCATTTGTATTTTAAGGATTTAGGGCAAGTACATGTTCTTCCACTGAATAAAAACAAAGTTAGTACTTAAAAGGTTCAAAAATATATCAATCGTGACTTTTTTTTACATAAATAAATTATATTGATTTTGGATTTAACAGCTGAAAAAACCCTTTCTGCTTCCACTGGAGGCAAAAACTGAACAAAATGTTAGTTAAATAGAGATAGCAGCATTTCTAAGAAATCTGTCGACAGTGATACAGTATCTATGCTACACGAATGTTATTAAATAGACCACAATTATTGGGGGGGAGGAGAACTGCATTATGATTGGCTAAATCCTTTAAAAAAATCATCCAATCCAGTAAACTGGGAGTAAATTCGGTGAAAATAAAAACCGACTGGTTTTTTGACCACGGGTAACAGACTTCTTTGAGATGCTAATTTTAATATGTACATAATTTATAATCCCAAATGTATAAAAGACAATGACAAAAAGCATCATAAATAAATAATGCAAACTGAAATAGTTATGTCAAAACATTTGGACCACCCGATAAATTAGCAAAACTGCAACAGAAAAAAAAAGTAAAAAATACAGTAAATTGTGACAACCAAGTGTGAAACT